CCCCCCACCCCCCACCCCGTCTCTCTCACACACACACACGGCCCCCCGGGGAAAACAAGCGGCGGCAACGACAAACGGCAGCGGCAGCAGCGGCAACAACAACAAAAGCAAAAGGCAACAGCACCGGCGGCGGCGGCGGCGGCGGAGGGAGGGGCGCTACTGCTCCGGCGACCACACCGGCTTCGCCCCGGGCGCGGCGTCGTAGTTGTCGTCGAAGCGGTGGAGCTTCACGAGGCCGTCGAAGGCGCCGCTCGCGAAGCCGCGGCCGTCGGGGAAGAAGGCGACGGCGTTAATCGTTCCAAAGTGGCACCGCACCTGCCCCAGCTGCCGCTCGTGCACCTTGTGGTAGAACTTCACCTCGAAGCTGGTCTGGCCGCCCTGCGTGGTGACGTCCTGCGCCTCCATGCCGCCGCCTAAAATGACGTGGTCGCCGCAGGGGGAGACGGCGGCGTCGTTGACTGGCACGTCGCTGGTGTACGTCTGCACCACCGACACGTCGCGCGAGTCGAGCAGGCGCGCCGTCTTGTCCTTCGAGGCGGTGATGAGGGTGTAGTAGTTGGGGTCGAAGTGGATGCGGTTGACCGCCTCCTCGTGCGGCTGCTGCGTGCGCACGGTGCGCATCGTCTCCACGTCGAGGATGGCCACGGCGCCGTCGGACATGGCGTAGTAAATCGTGTCGTTCGTCGGCCCCCACACGGCGTAGGTGATGTCGTCGCACTCCGACACGAACTCTGCGCACGGGTTGAAGGCCGTCTTCACCGGCTGCACCGCGTAGTCCTCCTTGGGCACGGCGAAGGGGAGGTTGTAGAGCTGGATCGCCGACTTCTCGCCCATCTTGCGCGAGGTGGCGACCATCACGCGGCTGTCGTCGTGGGCGAAGCCGACCGCGCGGGCCGGGCTCTTCAGCATGATGTTCGCCAGCTCCTCCCCGCTCTCCACGCACCACAGCTTCGCCTTGAAGTCCATCCCGCCCGTCACGAGGAGGGTGGAGTAGTTGTTCACGTCGCACGCCGCGATCGCGCTGTGCCCGGCGAACACCCCCAGCCGCTCCCCCGTCTTTGTGTACCACACGCTGATGTTCGGCTCCTTCGCGGTGGAGAAGAGCAGGTCCCCCTCGCGGTTGAACTTAATCATCGTCACGGGCTTCATGTGCCCGTGCAGGGCGACGCCTTGCATGTTCATCGCTCCCCCGCCACGCCCTCCCCCGTTCGAGTTCCCTTTTTTTCTTTTCCTCCTTCTTCTTCTTTGTGTGTATGTTTATTTACTTTTATTGTTATTTACGCCCCCCTTTTTTTGTTTTGTTTCTCTCTCTCTCTTAACTCGCGTGTTACTCGTCGTCTCGCTTTCACGCTTCGTCTTCCTCGGCTCCCGCACGCTCGCTCGTTGAATGACGCGCCGGCTGCAGTAGACCCCCCGGCACCCCCTCCGGCAGAGGCGCCCAAATGAAAAAGCAAAGAAAAAAAAGAAACACGATGAGACGCAGCCACACGCACACACACACGCACGCACGCAGGCGGGGGGGGGGACAACAAAGAAAAGGGTGGGGGGATGCACGCAACAAGTCACACACGCACCTTCGCCCTTCGCTTGCCCGGCCGGTGGCCTCGCTCGCTCCCTCGCCTCACCAGCCCAGACTGCCCAGGCGCTCCTTGACCGCGCGGAGGTAAGCCTGCGTGGACTGCAGCAGGCCGTCCCCCGCCGCCGCCGCCGAGGTCGTCGTGTGGGAAAACGACGCCGCAGCAGCAGCAGCAGCAGCAGCGGCGGCGCCGGGCCTCTCCATCTGCTCGTGGATGCGCCTCATCCCTGTCTGGATGAGCTGCGCCAGCTCTTCCGCCATGGCGGCTTCCGGGTCCTGCTGCTGCGGCCCCTCCTCCTGCGGTTGCTCGCTCGGCAGCCTCTTGCGCAGCTCCCCGCGAAGCCGCCGCGACTCCGCCCGCTGCTCCTCCAGCAGCTCCTGCAGCCGTCGCGCGAACTCCGCCTGCACCGCGTCGAGGCGGTCACGCGTTGCCTGGTAGTTGCGCTCCAGCGTCTCGGTCGTCGCCGTCTCGTGGGACTCCACGCGCAGAATCAGCGACTCCAGGAAGCGCTGCTCGTTCCTGCGCCAGTCCGCCTGGTCCCACGCACCGGTCTGCAGGGGTTCCAGCATCATCTTCGCAAAGGCGTTGGCGCCGTCGCTTCCGCCCCGCGTCGGCTCCTGCACCACGCCGTCCGGGTCCGAGTGCGGGCTGCCGCCGCACACGGCCAGAGTCCCGCCCGTGGAGGAGCCGGACGGGCTGCGCGGTTGCGTGTCTGACAGCGAAGAGGTCCCCACGGCGGCGTCCCGCGTGGATCGCGGGCGCGGCAGCGTCGCCGCCGTGGGCCCAAGGGAGGACACCGGAACCGGGACGTACAGCGGGACACCGCACCACTGCTGCTGCGGCTGCGGGTGGTGGCCGTCATCGCCGCCGATGGTGGTGGGAGGAGGGAACAGAAGCGGTGGGAAGAACGGCATGGCGCCCTGCGGCAGCTGCGGCGGTGGTGGGAGCTCCTGCCCTCTCCCCGGCTCTGCCTGCGAGTGCCGCGGCGGCTCCGACGCCCGGGGGTCCGGCTTACGGCGGCTGGCGGTGCTGCAGCGGTCCGCCGTGGTGGAGGAGGGGGTCCGCGTGCCGCCGCGGGAGGGGCGCGACCGCGCCGCCGCGACTTCCCCCGCCACCCACCGCGAACGCGCCTCCGCGCCCTCCTCCTCGGCCTCCCACGCCACGGCGGGGCTTGAGCCACGCGGCCTCCCAGCCTCGCGCCCGCTGCCGCCGCTGCCGGCGTTGTCCTCGGAGGGCGGAGTACGCCGGCGAAGCTCCAGCGGCGCCCCCACCGCCGACACAGGCACCGGCGTCGTCGTCAGCGAGGGAATCGGCGGCGTGGGGAGACGCGGCGCCTCGCCAGCGTCCTCCGGGGCCACCCCGCTGCCGCTGCCGCTGCCGCCACTCCCACGCCCCTCCCGCGGCTCCACGCGGGTGAGCAGCAGCTGCTCCGCGTACGTGTGCTGGCAGGCAAAGCCGTCCCCGACGAGGTAGGTGTCCTGTGTGTCTATCAGGTTCTTTGACAGGTCGAGCGACGCCACGGCGCTCGCCTGCAGCGTCCCCTGCTGCAGAAACTCCTTCAGTCCGGCGGTAGTCACGGCGTTGCGGCTCATGTCCACCACGCGCAGCGAGGCGTCGTGCGCGATGGCGAGACCCAGCCGCCGCAGCGTGGCGTCGCCCAGGGAGTTCCCCGACAGGTCCAGGGCCTCTAAACCCCAGGCCGGGGCTGCGGCGTGGCTGCTGCTGCAGGGGCCGCCGCCGCCGCCGCCGTCCCGCAGCGAGGCGCGCCAGGCCCCGCCCTGCTCCCTGCCGCGGTTGAGGAGAATGATGGAGTGGATGCCGTGGGCGCTGCCGTCGGTGAGGCCGCACTCCGAGAAGTGCGCCTCCTTCAGCGCGGGGAACGTGTTCACCGTCGTGGTGAGCCGCGTGAAGAGCTGGTCTGTCAGCCGCGACTTGTTCAGCTTGAGCACCCGCAGCAACTCGCAGTGCTTCAGCACGTCGAACAACCTCGCGGCCACCTCCCGCACCTGCGCCAGCGGCAGGCCACAGAGCTCCACCCGCGCCAGGTGGCGCGTGTACGTCATGCACGCCACCCGCACGCCGTCAATGAGGCTGCGCAGCAGCGGCCGGTTTTGCGGCGCCACGATGACGTCCTCGGGGAGCCGCTGCGCCAGCAGCACCGCGTACGACAGCCTGCGCCGCGACTGCCGCGGCGGGTGGTGCATGCCCTTGTTCGAGTCGTAGCGCAACGCCAAGACCTGCAGCTTCGGCCCCTTTGCCGCGATAGAGCGTGGTCCGCAGCGCAGCAGCGTCGCCGCAAACACCCGCACGGCCTGTTGCGGGGCAAAGTCGAGGTCCGTCACGATCTCGCCGGCCCCCGCACGCTCAAGAAAGCCGTAGTACGGCTCCTCCCGCCGCTGCGCGCACTGGGCCATGTACTCCTGCACGATGGGCAGCATGCTCCCGCGTTCCTTTGCCGGTTTGCACCACAGTCAGTAGAAGGGAAAGAGAGAGAGGAGGGGGGGGGGGAGCGGGCAAAGCGTAACGTGGAAGCCAAAACAGCTGCGATGAGGCAGGGGGCGGTAAGCAATAAGAAAAAGGAGGGAGCCCAAGGAGGACGCCACTGACACACACACACGCACACACGCAGGCGGAAGGAAGCGAGGACGGAGGTGGAGGAGAAAGAGAAGGAGAAGGAGAAGGCAGAGGTCTCGTGGCGTATCCATCACGCGTGGGGAGGGTGGACCCGCACCCGTGTTCCTTTGCGAGCCACTGACACACACACACACACGCACACATGCAGGCGGAAGGAGCGAGGACGGAGGTGGAGGAGAAAGAGAAGGAGAAGGAGAAGGCAGAGGTCTCGTGGCGTATCCATCACGCGTGGGGAGGTGACCCGCACCCGTGTT